TTCGGAAACATTCTGGTGGGTGATCGGTTCAAAGCTTGAATAAATCTACTTCATGCACATTCTTAACATCCTATAAATTTAAAAAAAAATTCAACTAATTGTAAGTGTAACGCTGAGCGATGTGAATGAAAATAATTGAAGCAATTGTCAGTTGCTTAAAAACTTAAATAGACTTGATAATTTTGATTTATTTTCTACATACTCATCAAGAATTTACGACGCAAATTTAAGCATTCCTATTTGTTTTCAAAGAGTGCTTGATTTCTCAGAGGAATTAATAACATGCATCATGAGAAAATGCCTATAAACAGGAAATATAGGACTCTGACACATGTGAGTCAATACTATTCAAAAGAGAGTTATTGGCTGTGTGAGAGTTATTATATGAAAAATCTCAAATAGAAAGTATAGGTACACCCTCAAAATACATTATCTCAAAATAAAATTTCGTTGAATAAATAATGATTAATCAATACAGCACTATTGAAATGGTAGAGAAAAAAGCGTTGAGCTTCCAGTCTGTCTTCTTGACTGAAAGAATGACAATGAAGTAAGCATTACATTTTAAGAGTGGAGGGGAGGGCTCCAATGTATACTGCATTTTATGATGTAAAAGTATTATCTTCAACGGGAGTCATGCATTCTTGGAGAAAATAAACAGTGTTGAAAACATTCATGAGCAATAATGGTTGACGGTTATGACATGCAAATATTCCCTTTTCTTATGAGGTCCCCTTTCCTCCTCCTAGGAGAGCTTTGTAAAAATCGTATTTCTTGAATGTTTCGCCTAAGTTATGGAGGTAAAATATATAGATTGCATTACTTGTGATGAGAAAACTGGGTCACGAATGAAGTTCACACGTCGACGTCGAAGTATAAAATAAAAATTAATTTAAGACGTCAATACTTGGATTCTCATATTTTAGAATGTTGGTACTACCTCACATAAAATATATATATATAAAAAAAAAAAAAAAAAAAAAAAAAAAAACTTGGAAGTATCAATTCAAGGAACCAAGGCTCACGACTCTCAATCATTATAAAAAATCAATAAACTGGGGTACATTAATGTGATATCTGGAACTATAATTGTGGGTTTAAGTCCAGGTTTTCCGTAAAATTGAAGTAAAAACTTGCATGCCACAACTGAACTTGCTTGGAATCGGAAAACAAGCAACCCGATGGCCGATCCAACGTCAAAATTTCCGATTTCGCGAGACATGTTTCTGAAATTTGATCGCATGATATGGTAGAACCCCGCAAGCAAAATGGTAATGAAAACGATGATGGACAAGCATTTTAGTGAGACCAAATGGTGTCATTCTACGCCCAAGACAACCCGACTGACATTACTCACGAGCCAAAAAATATCTTTGTTTTACCGTGTTTCTTGAAATGGGAGGCGAAAATCGGTTAACGGCCGAAAACAGCACGGTCGGGCTTGCGTTGGATTTACGCATGCTGCCAACCTAACAGTTCTAGAAGCTTGCTCTGGCTTATTTTATACACAGGCAGTCTATCTGTACCTGAGGAAGCTACTGTAAAATAACAATTACACGATTAGAACACATTGTACATGAAGTTTTGTGACAAGACATAAATTTACACTTGGGTGCTGAAGTGAATGAAAGGAGGTAAAAAAATTCTACAAAAAAGTATGGGCAGGAGAGGAGGACGTCATGAAACTATGCTGCTTTCCAATTCTTGTGCAAGTATTAAAATATACTTAAAAGTTATACTGATTATAGGATCATTTTGTTCTATGCATGTGCTTAGTGTGTGCTTGTATGATAAAAATTCCACCTAGTTTTGGATAATTTAAAAATTTCTTTGTTAAACTTAATGAGACTGTATGAGGCAGTATGACACGCTGTTTGAGACTGTTTCTAAGTTTTGATGAGTATGTAGGCGAAAGGCACGCAATTCAGGTGAAAATGTATTAGATTGTGATGAGAAAACCCACCAATCTCGAAACAAAATTCTCGTGTACTCAAAGTACTTGAATTATTTAGACGTATTTCTGTCAAACAGACCTATGCGTGCTAATACGGGTTCCTGTCTTAAAAGGTACACATAGTTCCGTTTGACAGAAATACGTCCATTTTGTGCCTCGTGACCTCGCCTTCTTTGCAGCGATATCAAAGAAAACTGTAAGTAAGTGGAGCAAAGAAGAAAACTAAAAGTTAAAAATTAGACACGTGTTTATCATGCATCCACTTGAAAATTTGGTAAGTGCTTTAAATTGAACTATACCTACAAAGATTAACAATTATTCTGAGAGAGCTTTTTCCATAACTACATATTTACAAATATTTATAAACTTTGCACGAGATAACTGAATAAATAATTTACAGAATAGTCCTACGTCACGAAGGATTGTGATGTGGGCGGCATCCGCCAGCAACGGTCTGAGTACATCAGACATTCTTTATATTCCTCCTATATTTTACTTCAATAACAGAAAACTGAAGACTGAACTTGAAATGTTTTAAATATACTTATTATAAAGTGGAAAAACTCCACAGAATGTCTTACGACGTCATGATGCCCAGTGCTCTGTAGAAAATTCACATTTGGGAGGAAATTAGGCAAAGTGAAACATCGAGACTCGTCCTCGTCAAATTATTCCACATCATGCCGTAAAATTGAATTAAACGGCGACCTGGGTTCTATAGATTGCATTTTCTGGTACAAGAAAATAATGGCCAAGAAGTAGAGAGAGACATATGGAGAGAAAAGGAAACAAAAAAAATCCAAAGAAATTACGACTCATTAGAGGTAGGTTAGAGGAAACTCCTCATATCATACTCAGATACCTCATTTTTCCCCGAGGACCGGCAAAATTGTAATGCATTTAAGTACTGCAATTCTCGTAAAATTGACAGTGTCGGGATAAAATCAGGTATGATTTACTTCATCCGTATATGTAACGCTGGAATTAAGTTAGGCCGTAAGTGAAACGATCAAAGCTTCATGTTAGTGTCACGTACGATGGATACATTTTAATGCCTGGATACAACTATTCGGGCTTTAAGGATGTCCGTGTTGCATACGCACGGAATTGAAGGCGTTTTGACTCTTCGCCGAGTCCAATCAGAAATGAAAATCAACCTACGACGGTTAAAGTAGAGCTCGGCGAGGCAGGAGCATGACCCAAATCAGTTTGTGAGGAAATATGTCTTAGGTTACGATTGCTTCAGGATTATCGAACCAGCGATCTGGTGGTATTTTTAAAATTTTGTCAAGTTGTGTAAAATATTTGTTAAAAATCTTAAAAATTGATAATGAGCCGTATGCTTCAGGTAAATTATCAAATGATAATGAAAATCCTACAAAAATGCAATTCTGTTGTTTATTTAATTTTTCCGCGTACTCGCTTTGTAATTGTTATGATGTGTTTTGAAATTTGATTGTTGGCAACTTAAAGTACACTGATAAATGACGCGGCTGAACTTTCAGAGAACTTGATTCGGCTCCGGAAATTATGTCACTCTACTTTCTACTTATTGGCGAATCAGAAGATGAAACTTTAGAGGCTTGTTGTCTTTATGAGGTGTTTCAGGTTCCCTCCTCTAAGAGAATTTAATCAATGTGTCCTCTTGCGCTAGTTGCAAAGAAAATTGTGTACGTAAACTATTTTTGCTTCCTTTCCCTTTTATTCCTCCTAAGGAAGATTATATTCACTGATTAATGAAAAAGCGGAAAAGGCACTTTGTTCAGTAAACAAAAACAAACAAGCAATAAAAAAAGAATGCAGAAAGGAAGAGAGCTACAGCGGCAAAAGGAGATGGAGTAATTAATTATGAGTAATATCCTGAAGTAAGTATCATTTACATGTTTTTGCTTGTCTAACAAAAAAAAAAAAAAAACCGAGGAAAAAGAGGTTGAGACTAACAACTTATCTAGTATGAGTTTGTATGTAAATATACACACTGTGATTGTTTGTGTTCGTATTGTGTATTTGTGAGTGTACGAACTTATGTCAGCCAAGGAAGTAAAAATTCCAAGGAGTCTGGATCAACATCAAAGTTAAAGAGCAATTTTGAAGTAACTGTTTTCCTGCTAAAAGATGGTTAAACACGGATTCATTTAGTTGAAAGACACTGATGCTATCGAGGTCACTCAATATAAATAATACTGATCGATTATAGATAAGGTAATATCTTTTATCTATTGACACCGGTATTTCTGAATTCAACAAAAACAAAAAACAAAAACCATGAAACCAATTCCAATTCGAATGGACAATGAAGATGGGTTGCCTTGTGAAGCACTTCCTCTCCTACTTTTTTATGATGTAAATTAAGTATTAACATGGTAAAATTGCATCGAAAAATTGGTTTTTCACATTCTTCCCAAAAAATGGAAAAACTCAACCTGGCTATATTCGTAGCTCCTCAGTGGCCAAACATTAGCTTTACTCGAGAACAATTTAAAAAGAGCTCCGGGTGTATTTTTCTGGCTTGATCTTATTCTAACTGATCTTAAGTTTTTTGGACCCAATACTACGTCAGTAACTCTGTGGCACAGCTATATAAATTTTGCAGGCAGAAAAAAGAGGCCTTTCTTGTAAAGAACACAGCATGTGCTCATTTTCACTTCGTAAGATTTTAAAGTGACAAATATCTAAAATAAAAACTATATTAAAAAAAAAAACAATGCAATTTCTGGAGAAAATACATCTGAAGATAGTATTTGAAGAATCCGAGGAAATAAATATTAGGTAGATTATACCTATTTATGTAAATTTGTGGTATTAGTTTCTTCAATTTGTCTGAATTATTTTAGAGGAAAGTCTGCGTGTGTTATTTCTTTCGATTCAGCAAATACAGCCCGTACGATCGCAAGAAAGATGAAAACAATCGTAGTAGGTTGCTTAAATCTTGTTATCGAGCAATTATCAAGTCAATAGAGAGAGTTGCGAGTAGAAAACAGAGTAGTTAAAAACTACCTATCAAGTAGGTAAGAGATAGCGTTTTTTCAAATATTTGAGGGCTGGATGCAGGAAAAAAAGGACAATTTCAAGATATTGTACCTATTGATAATTTGAAAGTCATCCTATGGCCGAGGGGGGTTCTTTTTTTAATAAGTTAAAAGCTGATCCAATGATGGAAAGAATTGATATCGAAGTATAAAGTTCGATCATCGTATGCTCCTTAGAGCATGCTAACAAATATAGGTAAGGCTATACTTCTCACCTGAATTGAAAGGAATATTGAAGAGTTAAAAAATCAAATCAAATACTAAGGCAAGCTGTGTCTTTGTGTGAAATTATTCACGGTAATTAATAAATCTCTCCTAAGACAATAATTCAAAATGTAATACTAGAAATCTTGACGGTCTTAATAATTCTTGCATAATCATGGTTTAAAACGCAAAAAATGCAATGATTTTATTGCTCCTGAAATAGTGCGATCGAATAATAAAGCATAACCATAACCATAACCAAAAAATTAACAAAATTGCATTAAAATCTCGGTGAATTTGAGCACATACTAACAAAAGCAAATATCCGCACAACAAAAAACAAAAAAATAAACCTAAGAAACCTAAGCAGAATCAGAAACATATGAACAAGCGTTAAGGGTTGAAATTATTAAAAATGAAATCAGTTAAATACATAAAAGTTACCGAGAGAGAAGCCGAATCGTGTTCTCTGAAAGGTGAGCCATGACACGCTTTTTGCGTTCGTGTGAAATCAAGGCGCGCTTTCCCCAGACAGAGTAACATTTGGAGATCGTTTACAATCGTGGAAATACTTTCATAGCTAATTCTAAACGAACCACGGTTGGCTGTTTTATAAAATCGCAATCATCCATATGAACTGAAAGAGGAAAACTCTCATTTCGGGGAAAGTTAAAAGCAGAAAGAAAGAAAGAACCCAATCAGTCTTAGGACTGTCTCAAAAGAGGGCCACAAATCTGGGTTAGCTCTCTGATAAGTTCGATCGACATGACCGAAATTTGATCAATTTTAGAACAACTGTAATTACGATAACCTGAGACACGACGAAATTATCAACAAAATTATTTCTTTCGCGAAATTGGATACATAAAACTTACTTAAAATAGAGCAAGCCATACAGTAAAAAATCAGAAACTCGGTTGCTCCTACGAGAAAAGCTGTTAAAGTTTTTTTTTTTTTTTTTTTTTCAGGCATAAGATGATTCTAAGCCAAACCGATTTGGTCTTGGTTTCAGATAGGTTTAAGTTGATTCGTGGTTTTGAAGCTGTTGGATTAGCCGTGTCGATACCTAACACACTTGAAGAACTCATCACACAATAATTGGACGTTTTCCTGTAAAATAAATCTACCTATCTGCATCTTCTAATGAGCCTAAAATAATAAAAAAATAAAAGTTCAAACATGCTCGAACATAAAACATGTTCAAAAATAAAAGTTTATCGGGGCCTAAGCGGACATGCGGCAAAACTTAATTTGGAAGCCTAGAAATGTAATTACTAGACTGTGTAATAAAAGCAAATATATGTTTTTGAGAGGAAAGCTGTAAAACATGTCCTTTGGCCTCACTTCTTCAGATTATTTTTGTAGTTAAAAATGCATCTAGAAAACCAGGGTCGCCAGAAAAACAGAAACAAAATTAGAGACGCGAAGTATCAATTCTTTGGTGCCATGCATGTACGTAATGAAGAGGTGTGTTTATCATCAGTACAACAAGCATCAGTCACGCGAGACCAAATGATGACTTAACTTCACCATTCGACTGAAATTTCAAGTTCAGACAATTTCGGACCTACGTGACGTCACGGGCTCGTATTTAATCACGGGCAACAATTCTTTTTCATTGGGAGAATTAAAAGAGGTTATGTCGTTGTTTTGAGATTGATCAAAGCAGACCTGGACAACAACATCACTTCTCCTGATTCCCCCTTGGAAGACATCGATACCCATCGAATAATCGATACCTGCCTGTGGTGTAGATCTTTGAAGAGAGAACGGGTAACCCAGGGGTGCAACCCGTCGTTTCCCGTACGAGGGAACGTAACTCAATTCCAAGGTTGCAAAGTTGACTCAGAAAATTTATTTTTTTACAAGAATGCACTTGTGTAGTACTTTTTGTCGAAAATTTTTCTGATTTTCGCATGAAATCAGAAGAATAATCGGTGAAATTTTTGTTTACAAAAGATCTAGATTCTCCTGGTAAAAATAATTTTGCCAGGGGAAATTTGGCAACATTGAAATGTAATTACGTTCTCTCGTGAGGGGAACGACGAACTATAGTACGGATCTGGGATACCGTCCTGTCGCTAAATCTGGGATACCGTCCAGTCACTAAATCTGGGAGGTAGACACTCGATCTACGACCGTAGCTAAAAATCATTCACGTGTGTACAGTAAAAGCAGTCACAGTATCTGTGGGAAACGTCGTGGTGGCCCAGTCGGCACTTTCGGTGGACTCTGTGTAAGTGGTTTGGTCGGGAGGTGGGTTGGTGGTGGTCGCATCTTGCGTGGTTGTTTCAACGTGATAGTCTGAGGAATTAGGAACAACGATTAAAAACGGCTTCTTGACCACCGCTTCGGTAGCCTCGGTGCTAGCCGTCGACGAAGGATCCGTCAGATTCCGTCTGTCCTCGTCGAGGGGTACTGTCGTGGTGGAGGGGAGGGTTTCGTCCAGGCTGGTCGTGGGGTAGGTGTCCGTCTCTGTCATGGGGAGCTCTGTGATGGGGGTCGTGGTAATGGTCGCGGAGGCAGTGGTGGTTTCGAAGTAATCGGACGAGTTAGGAACAACAATTAAAAAGGGTCTCTTGACCAGGTGAGCGGTCGTTTCGGTATTACCTAAACTCGAAGGAGCCGCGGCCGCGTCGGCGTCAATACTGGTGAGATTCGGTCTGTCGCCGCCGCCACCGGCCGTGTAGTAGGCCGGGAGTCTGTAGTTACCGTTACCACTATGACTGCCCGCGTGGTAAACGGTGCTGCTGGCCGGCGGTTGCTGGTAGGAGTTGCTGAAGGACGCCGTGTTGTACCCGCTACCGGCCGGTAGGTTGTAGATATTACTGCTTCTCACTGGAGCCGTGTTGTAACCGCTCGCACTGCTGGATGAAACGTCGTAAGGACCGCTGTTGGACGGGCTCTGGGCCGTGTTGTACACGTTGCTGCTGGCGGTCGCCGTGTTGTACAAATTACTGCTACTGCTGGGCGCCGTGTTGTACGCGGCGCTGCTACCGATCGGGCTCCGGTGGAAGATGCCACTGGTGCGAATCGGAGCGATGTTATAGCTGCTGCCGCCGATCTTTATGGGGGCCGAGTTATAGCTGTTGCTGCTGGTGGCTACTGAGGCAGTGTTACTGCTACTTATCGGTGATGTTTGGTAAACTATGCTATTGCCGCTGCTGGCGACGGGTGATGTATGATACACGTTGGAAGCGGAGTTCTGACTGTTGCTTCCGGGCGCTGAGCTATAGGCGCCGATTATGCTACTGATTGTAGCGGTGCTGTAACTACTGTCTATACTACTTGAGTTTGAGCCACTACTATTACTTGGAGCCAGGTGGCTGCTCCCATTGGCAATGGTGATATTGGTCGTTGTTCTCTCATCTGTGGCGATGGGATATTCAGTGGTATCGCCCTCGGTATCGGGTGAGTCTGTGGTGACTATGTAGGTATTTACATCGCTGAATTCGCTTACGGTTGTGGGCAGATCACTCTCCGGGGTGGAGCTGAGCTGGAGGCTGATGCTTGGACTCGGGGGTTGGGAGCTGGTGGGTGGGGTAACACTGGTGGTGGGGGCCTCGGTGGGCGGGGGTGAGGAGGGGGTGGTTTCTTTGGCGGAGCTGTTCTGTTTCATGAGGGGGATGGAGAACTGGAAGGGGCCTCGGTCCTCCTCGTTGCTGCTGGGCACGGAGTTGGCGCTGGCGCTAGGGGGCGCCGGCTCCGGGGGGAAGGTGCCGAACATGGAGTTGAGCTTCTGGAGGAAGAACTCCCACTGGTTGGCCGGGTCGAGCTTGACGATCTTCACGCAGCGGCCCATCTGGTCGGTGCGGTAGCCCTCTGGGCATTTGTTGATCGGCGGCGCGATGAAGACGGACTTGGGGGTGATCCTGCGGACCGCAATGTCGCCGGTGGGGATTTGGTCCTCGATGAGCAACCACGTCTGGAACTGATCCGTCGGGCTCTCGAGACCTTCAGCTGCACACCAGCACACCAGAAGAGACAGCACGATCACCAACATGCCGCCGTCGCATTCAGGACACCCCTACCCCGGCCATCGACTGAAACACAAGAAACACAACGACTGATTAGTAAGACGTTCTAGTGAAGACACACCATTCGATAAAGAAACTAGACATGAGTACTGACGAGCTAAAGGGAAAACGCTGTGCGAACATTTAAATTTTGCCATTTTCCCCCATAAATTTGTATGTTTCAACATGGAAGAAAAGTATGGTGAAATCTACTGTAAGTCTACTTGATTTTTTTATACAATGATAGTATTTAGTAAATATATCCAGAATCATATTAGTATTCACCAAAACTTTGGTGATATGTACTTTAGTATGGTTAATGCTACCGCAGAGTCTAGTATAGATTACCATACTCAGATCACTGTGTCAGAGTATGGTCAAATCGACCACATTTTTTTCAGTGAAATGTCAAAATTCATCAAAAAACTATCAAATTGTTTGCCTACCCTGGTAAAAATTGGCAGTAGAATCTGTGTTCCAAAATACCATAGACCTACAGTTGGCTGTAAGATTTCCAATAGATGCTATAGCCGGCAACACAATTTCTTATAGCCTTTTATAGCCGATGACGATTAAGCAACAGCCTGGCGATAAAGTGTATGCTAAACGTTACTAATTACGGATGCTAGGACTTAGTGAGTTTTTGGACTACCGCTCTCTTTTTGGGCCGTAGTATCTTGATTTATTTTGCGAGGAAAGCTCCGTACCTTTGAAGGATGCCTGCCATTCCTAATCTATTGGAGCGTCTTCGATTTCGTAAGATACTGTGCAATACCTCTGGTGTGAAATAGTTGCTTCAAGCGCCGTGGTACGCTGCATGCGGCGGGGCGCGGCGGGCGGGCAGCCAGCGCTGAACGCGCATTGGCGCTTACAAACCTAACAGGGATACTTCACGCATTGCGCAATGCGTGTAGTATCCCTGTTAGGTTTGTAGGCGCCGGTGCGCCGCCGCTCCGCTTTGTGTTAGGCTCTAATATTTAATCTCACGGAGTCAGCGTTTTTCAACTCATGACTTTGAAATGTTTGCATACTCTGTATGGATTATTCTCATTTTAATTGATGAAAAAAATATGTTGATAAGGAAAATATAATGTGCGTTTTGTAAATATTAAGGTGATTCCGTACAAACTTAAAGATTTACAAAGCACACGAATTTCTACACAATTTCTTATAGCCTTTTATAGCCGATTGCGAAAAAGCAACAGCCAGGCGATAAAATGTAAAGCCCGGCGATAGGAACTATAGCCCAGCTGTATAATTTTGTATCGCTTCGTGTAGCCCGGCCGTATGATTTTTTCCACTTTCTACAGCCAGCTATATGGTTTTCTATCGCCTTCTTCAGTCGGCTATAAGAATTTCTATGGTATTTTGAAACGCAGCTCCTATCGCCAATTTTTACCAGGGTAATGTTTAGGTTTACAAATCCAACACAGAAATTGCATATTCTGAGTAACATCTTTTAATCAAACGTTAAAATTACAATAATGATCGAGCCTTCTTGTTGAAGAATTTGAGCGAGATTATACGCATCCATATGGCAAAGTATGCTTATCCAACTGTCGCCGGATTCCCCTCAATGAAACATTCATTTTTGAGGGAGGCTATGCATATTTTCCCTTGAAATTTTGCAGTTACATCAAAGTGCGGATGAGGTGCTCTGAACAACTAGGCGGAAAATATCCAAAATTTCCTTGAAAATGTTTTCTTTATCAAAGCAAATATAGCAACGCCGCACAGTGGACCGAGTCAATAGGAGAGGTTGGACACAATTTGGAAACTTTAAAGGCTTATAACACCGTTTATGCAAAACTTTGAGATTCTAAAAGTGGTTTCATTGGTTTTATCCCGAAATTTTCTTCTAGCGGAACCCCTTAAGATTTAAAATTTGACAAAATAAACATTAAAATTTGCAGTTTTAGTAAAAAAAATCATGTCCGACCCCTCTGATTGACTCGATCCACCGTGCGCCGGAAGGTTCATACCGCGCGGCGCTTTTCCAGAACACAACAACAGAAACGGGACGTTTTTCGGCTTAAAACAGAAACGGGAGTTCCACGATGGATAAAGTCCACGTGCTACCGCAGAGGCGCAGACAGGAACGAACAAGGAAGAGGAGAAGATTCGGACGCATTCATACCAAAAAGAACTATATCCATTCTGACATGATCCCTGAGATCCACAGGAATACATGCAAGACAGGGTTCATGTCATATTGGATACGGTCCCTCTTGATTTAAATGCGTTCGTGTGATACAAAAGAGGGAGTGCAGACCAAAGATGAATCATTAAACAGAGAGCACGCGCTTGTCTGGAAGAGCGCTCACCTCCGCATTATTTTTGGCACCGGAGTGGACGGGAATTGATAGGTCCTGGTTACACGCGATTACACGACATTGACATTGCACCAAACGAGACGAAAACATCTTCCAGATAGTCATCATGCCCTACAATTTTATTTTTAACCACTTTTATATGATCCGCGGACGACCCGCCCCGAGGACTGAGAAAAGAGGCAGGGAGAGAGAGAAAGTTATGGGTTATTACGGATGTGCGTCCATTAGCACACAGATTTCCGGAGTAAAAACCAAGAAAAGACGTCACTTGAAATCGCTGTGAAAAATCGACTGGAATAGAGGCGGTTTCCGGCTAAAAAATTTAAAAGAGAAATCAGAATTGACGCTGAGGGATATGCTACCATGCTAAGGAAGAACGCCGTATGAGCCATCAGCAGGCGTTGCTATAAACCAAATTTTACGCCTCAAAAATTGAAAAAGTGTATGCAAAAGAGTGATTTTACATACTCATCGACTTGGGAAGTGATTTAAGCTCCTGTCACATTTTCTCATCTTTACTGGGAAAATCTTGAATATTTTTTTTCAATATTTTAGACAATTTTGTGTGTAAATTAATATAATATGTTCAAAAATCCCAAGGAAAAATATGCATGAATTTTGTCAAAAACACATGTTTTATTAAAGGAAAGGCAACTCTCGAATGTTCATATGGAGTTTTTCCTTATTACCATGGCAGCATGAAGGGCACGGCACGGCAGTATGGAGGCTAGGCATTCTGCCGTTTTGCCTTCAATTTTCACGGTATGCCAAAATACACCACATATATATGTATTAAACAATCTGGGTGCTTTTTGTGCTATTTTTAAATTTAGCCTACCGATAGAACAAGTCAAACTATAATTGAGGAATTTTGATGCAATCTATAGTCCTCTACTCAAAATTCAATTATTGATTCTGAATAACTGCTATATTGAAACAGTAATTCATCCCGAAATTTCTTTGGGGATGTGTAATTCCTGTCTAGCGTAAAAGCAACAAAGGCCTATAAACTGGAAAGATTCTTTTGATGACAAAAACTAGGCAATGTGAGTTTGAAAGATTTTGAAATTTTAAGAAAATTGGTGGTTTCATTTAGATATTACGAAATGTAATGCATTTTTCAACTTTTAGTTGGTTGCATTTTTACGTTTCGTCAAAATCGAGGCACCGGTGAATTCAAACCTGCCAACATAAACAAAGTTGCGCATAATAGTGAGTAGGAGACGAAAACCGGAAAAACGGCATGATCATCATTACATAATTTGGCTGACAGCTAATTACGTGAGATTAAGTAAAAAAAGAGATGGATACCGCCGCGCCGTATGAGCAAAGCTGTAAGGCGAAGTGGATGAAATAATGATTTGATAGCGTTATCAATGTACTGATTTACAACTCGTCTTTTACACCATGCCCCCATTGCCCCTCTTTCCAGTGGCGTTGCGTGAATTGCGATGTATCGATTGTCATGCCATTTAAACCTATGATAAAGAATCGATTCTTAAGGTGTTTGTTACGAACACCCTGTTTATCGATCCTATTCTATAGGTTTAAATGGCATAACAATCGATATTCATAATCGATGGTATAACATCGAAATTCACACCACGCCACTACCTCTTTCAATACAACCTACGCGCCGGTTAGTGACGTGGCGTGAACGATTGATTATCGATATTTCCCATTTTAAAGCTGTAGTAAGGAATAGGTTATTGAAGTGTTCCTTGCGAACACTCTGTTTATCGCTACTTTTTCATAAAGGTTCAATAATCGCAGATCAATCGATCTACCGCAAAGCACGCAACGCCACTGGCGCCGGTGATACATTGGGGTGGTCTAAATTTACCAAATGACAGAGATATTTACTAAAAACTGGACCACACTTAGCAAGAAGAAACCAGCGCGATTACAGTGCTTCCAAAATAATTTTCATAAAATACACGACGCTCTGGAAAGAGAGGACCGTTTAGGGATTTTCGAGGCAAAAAAAAATAAAATGGCAGCCGAAATTTTGAAATGTCGCATGGCGCTTGTGAAACTTTGGCCGGAAGGTGACGATTTGTCTCGGATCCCTTTCTGATTCCTCTGACATGCGACTTCTTTTTTCAGCACCACGTGGCAACCGTGCGCGGGTTCATTGATCAAGGCGCGGAAGTAATCACTGCTCGGATCCCTCGCGATCGATCGATCGATCGGTTCGAGTTGACGATCGATTTTCGCGGGGAGAAAGTGCCGCTTTGCCGCGTCGAGCCCGCGCGCGCCCATTCGCACGCCCCATAGAACGATCGGCTGATTACGGCTCTGCGAACTTTGGCCAAGGTCACGCCCATCAAAGCTCCGCCTTGCCGAACTTACTCGAACTTTAGCGAGGAAAAGATAGTCGGACCCTCCGGTTACGCTGTAGGAATGGGAAAAGATGGAAGGGGGGGGGNGAGGGGGGGGGGGGTCTTGTCCGGATGAATGGGGATGTTGCATGTGTGAGGAATTTGCGATTTGACTATTGATTCTTATACAAAAGTTCGTGAGAAACACGATGGTGCCACTGGTTTTCTCTGAAATCAACTCCCAGGCTCAAAAAAGCTCTCAAGTTGAGGCCAAAATGGAGGGGATATCCCACGCTATCCTGAGAGTCCACCTCTACATCAAGACGAACTCTCCGTGCGAAGATAGGGAGCAAATGCATTAGCAGGGTTGCCT